TGCTTTGAAGATCTAAAGATATTATTTATATGTAGTCATATGTGAGATCTTTACTAATCATCAGAATTTGAAGTACATATTCACTCATAAGAATATGAATTTGAGGCAAAGAAGATGCCTTGAGTTGATTAAAGACTAAGATCTAACTATTTAATATTAGTTTGGCGAGGCTAATGTTGTGGCAGACACTCAAATTCAAGATTCAGGTAAATATTTAGCAGAAAACTTGGCATTTCAAGATTCAAGTATCATAATATTTTGTTAAATTTTTTAGCATTGAAAATATCTCTAGCTAAAGCATGCATGGATGTTATAATTTTAGTAAACTTAGTGTACATTCCAGTGAAAGACTTGGTAGAATTCATGCAAAATAATTCATAGTCATGTAAAAGAAATTCATGTGAGATTGCTTGACTTCACTTGTGCTTTTGTAGGCGATACATAATTTTCCCCATATGTCTTTACTTGTGGTACATGTAAGCACACACAAATAGTCTTCTCATTCTAGTGCACAAAAGAAATAAATAAGACATTTAGCTTTTAACAGTTAAAGATCTTGATCTTCTAAACTCCATTCAATAAAGAAAATTTCAATTTTAGTACCATTCAAAATTCTATATATCAAGAAATAACCAATTTGAAGAATATGCCAAATATGGAAATTAATAGACTATAAAAAGGTAGACATTCTAACTGTTTAGAAATCAAATGAGATATTGCCAAATAATAGCAATTGAGTAATAGAATAACCTTTTGAGGTATTTCTATTGCCAAATTATGCCATATGGATCTAGTCAGATGATTAAACCAACTAAAGTGAGAACACTGCTTTGAGAAAATTTTAAACCTTTTAAAACCTTTTTCTTAAAACAAAATAATATGTTTAAGCAAAAAGATATTTTAAAATAAAATACTTAAAATATATATAAGTTTTTTTTTTTATATAGTTTATGTAAGAGTCTAACTAAAATATTAAGTAACAACAATTATTACAGAGCTATACAATATAAACCAAAAGTACAAAATTAAAGTGCAAGAAAAATAAATAATGTAAACCTACAATTTTTATAGTGGTTCGATTAACATACCTACATCCACTCTCCAAAATCCATCTTCAAAATTTCACTATGTAGAAAACTCTTTTAGCACTCAGTTAGGCGGAGAAGCCCTTCTCACTTCTAAGGCGGAGAATAATCTTTACACAACTCTTCTATCCTTGAAAAGTCTCCCTCCTTCTGCCTACCAACACGATAGGGATGTCAATCCCTCATTCTACTCTTCGCAACAACGGATCGAGATGTCACTCCTTCCTTCTTCTCCTCACATGCCTCTCCCCTAGTCTTCCCCGGTTAGTACCGAGTCTTCACCCAAGACTTCTATAGAAACCCTTATGCAAACACATGACACAAGCTCTGGAAGACAAGTGCAAGTTGATAAGACTCCCATGTTAATCCTTTCATACATTCCATGAACACCCTCAATGATTCTCTCAAGTTCACTATCGCTCCTAAGAATTTACTCAATATTTTTTTTAATGAAGAGACCCACTTTCTCTCCCTAAGGACTCTCTCATAAAAACTCACATCGAGATCCTCTCAAAAGCTATTTCTAAAAAAAATTAAGTTAGGCTATTTAAATGAAACCATAATATTCAATTTTTAATGCTCTGATCTTATAATAAGATACCAAGTTCATTTCACCCGATTAGCTAAACACCCATTTTGAAGTCTGCCAGATTAGACTGTATGATTTTTGGTCATACAGCACGATCAATTAGATCAAATCAAGGGTTGTCCAGGATGAACAAAGGTTAATCTAATGAAGGTTTTGTTAAATTGTATAATATAATTACCAATTAAATTTGATCATAATTTGATTCCTTGATTAATGATCCAAGTTAGACAACATTCATTAATAATTGTATAGTATAAAATCTTTCATACAATATGATTACGTCAAATTTTTCTAATTTTGGTAACTTAGATCCAATGGCAAGGATTTATCAACATATCTAATCATTCTGTGTGATCTTAAGTCATATAGTATAATTAGTTATTATTTAAATTAAATTAAATTAATAAAATATTTAATTTAATTTCTAAATGAGCTTGTCAAAAATTTCGATTTAATATTAATCTACTTTAACTACACACCTCAAGTATTTTCATAGCAAGGAATTGTTAAGCCATAATATTGATTTCAATTGTTTTAGCCCAAAATCTTGGCTTGACAAATGTAGTCATTTGTACTTAAGTCTTATGCTTTCAATAATTTTATACAATCATGAGCTTCTCATTTAAAATTATTTTTCTTAAGTTAGTCTTGTTACTCTTGCTAATAATTTTCCAATATTACTCATATAGATTTTAGACCCAACAAAATTATTTGCATGGTAATTTAGTTTTTGTTTATTATAAGTTCTTACTTTTATAGATTTTTTTTCATTTGATTGTCCCCTTGTGTAATCCACTCGTTAAAGCTAACGTGCGGTTTATGCTCCATTTGGCGCATTAAAATTGTCGAGTATGTGTGGATATAGAAAAAAATATGTCATGACATCTTAATATAATTCATGATAGGAAAGGCTTTATTGCCCTTAAATTTATACTAAGATTAATGCTATATATGATATCCAATGGATGCATTAATCTCAACATATATTTAAGGGCAATGCAACCCATTTTGACATAAATTCTATCATAATATTCGGCCATAAATATTTTCCCATGAATAGAAGGGTCAGCATGAGGGAAAATTATTAGGTCCAGTCACCAGACTTAAAAATAGGTCCGAACACCCAATTAAAACTTGCCACATGGACTGCGCTTTGACTGTGCTTTGCTTAAAATTCTGCGGTTTGCTTAAAATTCTGCGGATACGTGTACATTCCACTTGTCAATATTTTATTAGTGACCGAACCTAATAATTTTCGAGAGAGGGTTCTGCGGACACGTGTACATTCTACTTGTCAATATTTTATTAGTGACCGAACCTAATAATTTTCCAGAGAGGGCCTTCATACTTTTTTTTTGTTTTTGGAGAAAATTAATATAAATGAGGGAATTTTATAGAAAAAATAATAATTTAAAATAAATTCACTAAATTTTTAATTAAGATAAATTTTAACATCATTATATTTGCTTTAAAATAAATGTAATATAAATTTAATTGATTGTTTATATAGTATATTTATTTCAAAATAAATTCATTGTCTTTAAGATTCATTGTGAAAATATTTTTTTAAGGGGCTGTTTGATTGTCTAAAAAAAGAATGTAATGTAAAAACAATATTATGTAAAAGGAATACTTAGGAATTATTTGGATGTGCGTAAATGGAATGCATGATTTCACTTTTTTTTTATTTGATTTGAAGTAAATAGAATGAAATATTATGTGCAAAAAGGTTGTGGCCAGGGTGGCTAAAGGTTGATGGTTGATGGAGCGGTGGTGGCAACAGTGGACGGAGGCGGTGGCCAGTGGTAGGGGTGTCAATTCGGGTCAGGGGTCGGGTTCGGTTCGAACTCGAAACTGACCCGTCACTGTTCAGGTCAACCCGAACCCGACCCGATTCGGGTCCAGGTCAACCCGACCCGACACGAATGACCCGAATTTGAGCTAAAATTGATAATTTTCAAGTCAAAATCATGTCAATATTCGATTTTCGGGTCAAAATCAGGTCAAAAACGGGTCAATCTCGAGTTTTCGGGTCAAATATTAGTTTTCGTGTCAATTTCGGGTTGTTGGGTCAACCCGAACCCGACCCGATTGTTAAAACGGGTTGATTTGTTCAACCCAAACCCAACCCGTTTCGGGTTCGGGTTGACCCGAACCCAGATTTTTCTGGATCTGGTTCGGGTCGTGTCAAAAATTGACACCCCTAGCCAGTGGTGGTGTTGTCCAACAGTGGTGGCTGGTTGTGGTGGCCGATGGTGAAAGATGACTGAAGGTGAAGGACAATGTGGTGGTTGGAGGTGGTGGCCGACGGTGGTGGATGGCCAACGATGGTGGCCGACGATGGTGGTCAGAGGTGGCGGATAGCCGACGATGGTGGTTGGTGGTGACAAATGGTCGGCGGTGGTGGCGATGACAATTCGTTATTTGTATTAGAAAATCACCCAAGTCTGAGAAATTTCAAATACGCCCAAAAATGCACTAGCATGTGTATTTAGAATAGACTCATTTTACACTCTGTATTCCTTTTACTTCGAACAAAAACTAAATTATTTAAAAGCCTATGCATTTGAAATACTTTACAATCTAAATGCAACAAACCAAATCAATCCTAAAATTTATATTAACACATTCTTGTAGAATTACTAAAAAAAGTAAAAGTTTTTAAATTGATTTATAATGAGTGAAATTTATGAATAAATAATATTATACTAATTATAAAAAATTTTAAATTTGAAATCAGTTTTGATTAAAATTTTAGCCAATCAATTTTTTGTATTATAATATGATCAAATGATCGATTAGAAGAATAAATATATCGGATTTAACTTGTGTTAAAAAAGAATAGAGATAGATCTAAAGAGATTTGATTAGAGAGTATAAAAAAAGTTTTTTTATTAGATCTAGATAATAATTTGACTCTTAATAAATAATAATAGAGTAAAGTAAATTTACTTAAAATTTTTTAAATAATTTTTTAGATAATTCTTAAACTGTTTTTTTAGCAATAAATGTTTAATTTAGAGATAGACCTAAAGAGATTTGATTAGAGAGTATAAAAAAGTTTTTTTTTATTAGATCTAGATAATAATTTGACTCTTAATAAATAATAATAGAGTAAAGTAAATTTACTTAAAATTTTTTAAATAATTTTTTAGATAATTCTTAAACTGTTTTTTTAGCAAAAAATGTTTAATTAAAAAAAAATTGTTTCTAAAAAAATTACTTTAAAAATAATAAAAAAGGTTATCGAAATTAAGCCTTAATAGGCCCACATATTAGGATAAAAATTTAATCGAATAAATATGGATAAATGACGGCGATAGGCACGAGATCATCCGCTTCATTTTTCTTCGCTCATTCTGTTTCCGTGATTTTAGCCTAACCGAAGCTCCTCAACCGTTTCGTTCTCTTTCTTTCTTTCAGCATTTCAGGTCTCCTTCCCATTCTCTCTCTCTCTCTCGCCGGCCGGAAAATATAGCTGATCTGTCGGAGATGGCCCGGGAGATGGAGGATCTCGCTGCCCGCTTCGCTGTTTTTTGTGCCGAGGGAGTGAAATCCAGTAAGAAACGGCCGATACGATGGTTTTCCTCGGTACGTCAACAAGTGCCTCAAATACCTAGTAATTAGGGTTACTTTGCTTCTTATTTGCTGTCTGCAGTTGGTCAGAAGGGATTCTATTGTTCCGTCGCCTGATCTCTTTGCTAGGATTCTGATTTCTAGGGTTTTCTTTAAAGAAAGGTTGGTGAACTTAGGTATTTGTTCCGTTCCGTTCACAAGATTATTAGTTCGTCTTGGTTTTTGAGTTTCCTGGTGGTGGGGAAGGCTAGTTTCCCTTCTTTAGCTTGTCTTTCTTCTCCAGGTGGATAAATTGTTTAGACGTCTGCGCTTTTCTGTAATTGAATTGAGGGCAATTGGAGAAGGAACCGAGGTTTAATGTTAGAGCTAGGGTTGAGTTTGGAGATATTAGAGGATTCTAAGTAGTTTGAGGTAATGGGGAGAATAGAATTGTCAGTGAAGAAGATTGGCAAACTGAACTTAAGAGAAGAAGCGGCAAAGGCGACTCTGCGTACCGTGTGGCAACAGGGACATGTGTATATCGAGCTGAGAAGAATTACTAAACGCAGCATCTTCTTCTGCACACTTTGTCTTACACAGTGTTTCAGTGAAGCCGTGCTTTATGATCATCTCCGAGGAAATTTCCACTCTAAGAGATATAGTTCTGCTAAAATTACTCTTTTCCTTCCCAATCCTTGGCCGTTTAATGATGGCGTTCTTTTCTTTGATACCTCCCTGGCAAAGGATCTCAGCATCAAGTTTGTTTTGGAGTCTCAAAGGGGTGTTGTTTTGGGTGTTAATGGTGGAAGGAGTGGAGCCGCTGCTAAGGTAGATGAACTAAGATCGAAGTTTAGAGGTACCTCTGATCAAGATCTTACTAACCTAACGTCAGATCATATTAGTAATGCTCGGAATGCAGGCAAACCTGCTATTGGTCATGAGAAAATTAAAAAGTGCAAGGGTGTGCAGGAGCATTTTAGCATTTCTTATGTCCTTCCTAATGAGAAAACTTCAAAATTGGAGTTGGAAATCATTGGTTATGGACATATTGGTGCTAAACTCCATGAAGACAGTGAGAAAAGCTGCATGTTTAGCAGAATTTGGTGTGCTTGGTTGGGTGATGGCAATTCTGATGGTTGTGATGAGTTATTAGCATCCCCAAAGTGTGATTTTGCTATAGTGAGCATCTCTTACACCTATGATCTTGGAAAAAGGTGTGACATTCAAGATGAAGTCAGGCCTCCCTCACCTGGTTCTTTCTTTGAGATTGATCAATCTGGAAGACGAACAAAGAAGAGAAAAAAATCATTCTCAGATCCAGAGGATAGTTCTGAATCTTTTGCTGACCAGTGTGCTTCCTCTTGTGAGCAGTCTCATATTGTAGGAAGCCTTGGCAATTCACATTCTAGACATTGTCGACGAACGCAAAGCAGGGATCTCAGGAAAGAATTGAGGGAACAAAACATTTTAACTGCTCAAAGGAAATGTGATATATGTCAGCAGCCAATGCTTCTAGGAAAGGATGTTGCTACCTTGTTGAATTTAAAAACTGGTAGATTTGCTTGCAGCAGCAGAAATATCAATGGAGTAAGCCTTTATGCTTTCTTTTTTCCAGTTATTTTACACAAATCTATTCTGACCTGAGGTATTTGTTGTTAAACTCTTTCTGCAACATACAGGCATTTCATGTGTTCCATGTCTCTTGCCTTATACACTGGGTATTGCTTTCTGAGTTTGAATTATGGACCAATCTGTCAACGAATCCGAAAAATACCCGAGGGCGCAGAGGGAAATCAGTTATTAATAACAACCTTATCTCTTCTATATTTTGTCCAGAGTGTCATGGTACTGGTATTCGTATTGAAGGCGATGCATTAGAGCAGCCCAGTCTTTCGCTATCTGAGGTATTCCCTCTTCCTTTTGTTGTGTATTGATCATTTCTATGGAGAAGATTTTTTTTTTTTCCCGTTTATTTTGTAGTATTTGGTTTTGGTTGGTTACAATTTGTTTTTTCAGACATTCCTGTACAAACTAAAGGCTATTAAAGCTCAAAAAGAATGGATGAAAAGTCCAGAAAATCTCCAGAACTGTTCTACTGGTCTTTGTTTTCCTTCTGAATCCACTGAGAAGTTGCAGGTTCAGCTGATTGTCTTTTTTGTTTTTCTTCCGTTGTTTAACAAAGGATTTTTGCTATTATTAACTGGCTTTTTTCTTGCTGCAACAGGGAAAGGTGAGACCGGCGAAGTTGTTGCTCTTCTACCGAGCTTATAAATAGATTCTGGGGCTACCGTGCAATGCAAGAGCGTGGCTGGTTATTGATATAGCAGATTTCTAGTAAGTTCTTGTAAATTTCTTTCAGTAGGGTGATTTCTGTAGAAAGTTGACTTGATGTGGGTGTGTTTGACGCTATGATTGATTCCTTAAAAGTTGGAAGTGTGTGTTTCTTTAGCTGAGAGTGAAGTATATATGCTTAGGTCCACTTGTACATGAAATTTCCGTGTTAGTTTGACTTGAAAGCTGATGGCTCTATGCCAACCTTATATTTCAATGGCTGATTGCTTCGTGCCTTTACGCTTTTTTATTTTTTGGAAACGGGTTATCCACCTGCTGCCACCCCTGAAAGGGTGCTTGGCGGCGTGATTAATCCTTGGCTGACCTAGAAAAGTTACCCACCCCAGAAACTTCTTAGCCCACACTTGATTGGCCTCACTTAAGAGGCGTTGCAGGTCGAGGGGAATCAAACACGGGTTGAGACGTTCCCAACCGTACTCGCCCACCAACCAAACTAAGCTTCGGTGGGTCCTTTACGCTTTTTAAAATGACCTCATTGCATAAGTAAATGAAATTAAAAAAATAATAATAATTTCCGATCAATGAAATAACATTACATATGTATTGTCAGTGAATCAAACGCCATATTAATTTTATTTAATCACAAAAACTGGCCACTGAACTTATAATAGTTCTACTGTACTTAAGCTCTACACATTATAAGTGGAGTTCGTCTTTAGGCCAATCAAATAAATATTTGATCATTTGGGTATTTATTTGGTAAAACCAATTTCTATTAAATCTATTTGTATTTATGTAAATTTTTTGTTGGTCGTTGAAGATATTCTTACACACAATGAAACACAAATTAAAAAAAAAGACCATTATGGTGGAAGCAATATGAAGAAATTACATTTATATTATAGGTATATTAGAAGCGATAAAGAAAAAGTTATGATGTGGATTAATTTGATTAATTTTATTCAAAGATTAAAATAGAAAAGAAAATAACAAAATATTTATTTTTTTAAAGGGCATATAGTCAAGTATAACAAAATAATAAGAGTAGAAAGTAGTCATCTTGATATATTCAAGAACTATATGTTATCGTTAAGCTCTCTCAAATAATGGGAACACCATTTGCCACATCAATAATTTATATTGTTCGGTGAACATTTGCTTTGAAACATTCAAAGGTTTATACTTAGTTGAAGAAGACTTTGCTGCTTAAGCATGACTACATTTGTCTGAACAACAAACCGTTTGGAGATTTCACTATGCATAAGAACTACTTATTCAAGGAAAATAATTATATATCCCAAACACCTTAACTCATAAATGTATAATAAAAGATTTGCATACTGTTGGTTAGGGGTGCAACCGAGTCAAGTTGACTTGCGAGCCGGCTCAAGCTCGACTCGTTAAAGAGCTTTGTGAGTCGATTTATCGAGTTTCGAGCTCGAGAAGAATTTCGAGCTCGTTGGATTATTGAGCTCGATTTTAATCCTTAGAATGCTCAGCTAGATTACCCATCTTGAGCTCGAACGTTGAATCAGAACCGCGGAACTGTGGAAGGCAGAATTGTGACGCGGGCTCGAACATGGAAGGGGTAGTTTCAGAAAGCAAGAGCAAATTAACTCATACTTTCCTTGGGAGCTAGACATGTTCAAAGCCAATTTGTAAAATTTTGCCATGCAATACAAAAAACATTCCAACCTCAGCCGGTGCTGCAAGATCTTCATTGCTAGGATTTGGTTATGATCCACCTCTACAAAGAAAAGTTCCCAACCGGTACTAACTCCAAAGTTAAAATCATGAAAGCTTAAACTATTTACTATAACAAAATGAATCAGTGACAACACCTACATTATCAAACTATTGTTGGATTAAGGCATTTCCTCTACATTCAAATCCTCCGACATTTATGCTTCAGGCTGCATTTGTGACAATTTTTTGTCATAATTTTTTCATTGGTTTCAAAATATTTTTGTACTAAAAATCTATTTAAAAAAGTTGTCTCAAATGAAGCCTAACTTGTAGTACACTCTTCTCCTCTGCTTTTCGATTCTCCGCCACTAAGGATCCCAAATAGTTGAGAGAAGGGAATACATATTTGTGCTAGATTCTAATGATGCTCATGTAAACATTCTAATCCCAAAGCAAACTTTTGCAAAGCTGAAATGAACCTGCATTAAAATTCAAAACTAAATAGTTAGCTAAAGACAAAGGAATAAATAGAGAAGAACTGCATCACAACAGCTACGCATCAAGTTTCATTTGTAAAGACAGCTAAAAAGCCAGACAAGATAACATTTATCAGCTTGAGGCAAAGTTCTGAGATTTGAAACTTGTAATTATTAGCTGGGTCTCTTCATTCTGTTCTATACTCTCAGCTTTCATACTCTCCAAAACCTCCTCTACTCCTCTACCTGATCTAATATAACACTTAAGTAATGTGTGATACGCATCCCTATTCACAGGAACTGCATTCTTCAACAACCCTACAAAATTTTCCACCGTTTTGATTTCTCCTTCTTCACCGAGGTACTGCAATATACTTCTGATCACATTTGGGTTTGGTAACCAACCACAACTTGGACTGTACACACAAAGAGCATTGGTCATGAACTCACAAGCTTTCCCTAACTCACCTTTCTCTGCATAGCCAGTGGCAACAATCCCCCAGGTATTTGATGGTGGAGTCTTCTTTTTCTTCAGAAAGTCATCGATCATCTCCTCAGCCTTCTCCATTAAACCTCTCTGTCGATATGCAACGAGAAGAACATTCGGAACTCGAAAATCAAAAGTTCCGCAGCTTGATTCCCATTCCTTTAGCAATTGCTCGGCTTCTTCCAGCTCCCCGAGCTTCACCAATGCTCCAAGCATGGTAGTGTAATCCCTATTGATGATTTTCTTGCAGTTCACCTTCTGAAGCTCCCACAACCTCCACATCTCTTGTTTGTTTCCCAAAACGCCATACAGTGAGATTAAGTGATTGTAGCAGAGGCCATTCTTCTTTTCTAACTTCTGTTCAGCTTTCTTCAGGGCAGAAACTGCCTTCAAATTGAGCCCAGATTTGATATAGTTGTTTGCAACGACTGAATATGTGTTCCAGTCCATGACAATTTGTGGCTGAAGTTCCATTTCATCCAAAACCTTTTCCATTCCTTCAATGTCAGATTTTGTACCAAAAGAATTGATGCAAATCCTGTAGCTAAAGTTGTCAGGCAAAACCATATTGTTCTTCATCTCTTCCAGCACCAAAGGAACCTTTTCATGCTGGCCTGTATTTGCGTAAAGACACATTATGTTGTTGTAAGGGAGAGAGGAAGAAGCCATTCCCATATCTTTCATCTTCTGCAAGTGAGATAAAGATTCATCTATCAGACGCTCTCTGACATAGCAGTTCAAGAGAGCTCCATAGGTTTTCTCATTCTTGTCCTTCTCTTTCAAGCTCTCGAAGTACTTTTTTGCGGAGGAGAGTCCAAGAACTTCTCCAATGAGATCCAGATGAACAGCGTGGTCGCTCGCCATGAACGATATGCTGCCTTTCTCTTTCATCCATTTGACTTTCATCCATTCAGAAACCTGTTTCCAATAAAGATGAGCAAGTAGTCTAACAGGCAAATTAACAAACAATTGGTGGGCACGATTGAAGGGACAGGAAGAATTACAACCTCGAGGGCTTGCTTGTGTCTGCGGCGACTACGAAGGTCGCGGATTAGATTCTGGAGCTCTACGAGGCGGATGGCATTGCCGCTCAAGATCCAGCGGTCGAGTTCCAGCGAGAGGTCGAAGCTGGGGTGGCCCAACGGATAGATGGCAGAGGAAAGAGTCCGGCGAGGGGGTGGTCTTGTTTTCGTGGAGAGAAGCTTTGATGCCGGAGGAAGGAGTGCCAGCGATAGTCGGAGACGAGCGAAGGCTCTCAGGCTATTCAGTCGGGTAAAGATGGCAGAATTCATCGGCCTCGGGCTTCAAAATTTCTGTAAAGATGACGAGTTCAAGAGTCGAGACTTTTAAATCTTTAAACGGTTAAAAAAAAAAAAAACTATTAATGAAGAGCTCAACGTTCCACCAATTAATCAGGGTTGGATTCGATTAATGCTCATTCATAATCGTTTGATTAAGTGATAAAAAAAGCTTTTACATTTTTTTTAGATACCCTATGACGATGAAAATAGTAAGATTGAACAACCATGTGTTTGACTCGTTTATATTCATGAGCAATATAATGTAAAATTCATGAGCATGCTCGATTTAAAGCTTGTCAAAAAGCTCATTTCATGTTCACTATGGAGCTCATGAGCAAACTCGTTAAATAACTGGATTAATGTTTAATATAAAGAAATATTAAGGCTTCATTTGGGACAGCTTTTCCCCTGCTTCTAAAAATAACTTTTTTGTACAAAAATAAAAAAATTGTACTAGCCAGCTTTCTTACTGTTTCTTAAAGCAACTTTTTAGTACAAAAAATAAAATTTTTATATTAAAAAACTGCTTTAAGAAGAGCAGTCCCAAACGAAGTCTAAGGCTTCGTTTGGGACGGCTTTTTTATTGCTCTGAAAACGGAGTTTTAGTACAAAAATTAAAAAAAACTAATGGTTCACATAATACTAAGGCTTCGTTTGGGACGGCTTTTTTACTGCTTTCTAAAACGGAGTTTTAGAACAAAATTTTTTATTTTTGTATTAAAACTCCGTCTTAGAAAGCAATAAAAAAGCCGTCCCAAACGAAGCCTAAGTCTCTCTTAAACTCTCTAGAAAATAGTTGAGCAATTTAATAGAAAGATGTGACAAGCAACCATGCATGTATTAATTTAAGTTAATTTAATAAAATGTGCAATAAAAAGTATGTTAATTTATTAATGTGCATTTGCAACTAGATCCGGTAGGATCTGATTTGCACTATTCAAATCTTATTAAAATATGCACTAATTCAGATCCTATTAACTATCTTAATTTAGCTACAAAGGTGAAATTAACATCATTATGCCTACGGTTTAAATTAGTTACAAAGTTTCCGCTACTATTAAGCAAAGCTAACTTTAATAACTTCTTTAACATTCTCTATGAGTCTTGCCCTACTTAGTTGGCTTAAACCCCTCATCCTTCCCTAACCATTTGTGTTATCTCTAACTATAATTTCTTGAAATGTATGTCACAAAATTCGCTACAACAACTTAATTCCACAGATGCAATACCCGATGTTTTGCAATTACCAATGTGTGACAGTCAATTCAGTGTTTAGTCATCTTCAAGACCAACTATTGCAGCTATAGATGATCAAAATAAAAATCCTTTTGAAAAAAAAAGGTAGAATATATCCTCAGGCTCAGTATGGCAATCAAATGATGACATGGAGAAAGTATACTGTAATATTGTAAAGTGAAGCTCAATAAAAACAAAGGAGATGCAACTACACAATATCTACGGATTCTAAAGGGAAACTAAATGTTTTTTTCCATCCACCTTTTCCATCAAACAAATTTGATCATGGGAGTAGTAGCGCAGTTGTTAATCGGAATTATGATCAAGAAAGGACGAAGGAGTTAATATCACACATGGAAATGATACATAAATTATCATTTAATTTTGTTGAATATGGGATGTTTAATATTGTGATGAAAGCTGTTAGCCCATATTATGAGAAAATATCAAGAACAATGATGAGGAGTGACTATGTAACTAGTTATCAAATTTGGGAAAAAAGGTTGAAATCTTTATTAGATACAGTTAATAGAGTTAGTGTAACAACTAACTTTTGAAAGTTTGATCAAGATATTAATTACACATGCAGTTCTTACATGCCATTTAATTGAAGCTAAATGGTAACTTCAGAAAGGAGTGCTTAACTTTGTTGATCCACCTCATAAGTCTACTAATATACATGATATATTATACAGTTGTTTGAAGGATTAGATTGGGGAGTTGAGAATAAAGTTGCTACCATTATAGTAGACAATGCAGCGTATAATATGTCAGTAGTCAACATGTAGAGGACTAGTCTTGAGTTGCACAATAAGCATTCTCTTGATGACAAAATATTTCATGTGTGATGTTGTGCATATATTTTAAATTTATTAGTTCAAAATGAGATTCATGAGATAAAAGGTATTATTGACATGGTTTGAGATAGTGTGAAATATATAACAACTTCTTAACAATGAATAGTAATTTCAATGAAATAACACAACAATTGCACCTTCCAAAAAAGAAGTTGATCTTTGACTGTGTTACTCGATGGAATGCCACATATGCGATGTTATCACTTGCATTACAATTTACAGAGGTGTTCCCTAGATTTCATGATAGGGATTCTTGCTACATAAATTGTTTGATTGAGGATGAAAGGAGGAAGTTGGAGAATGTATGTTCATTCCTTGAGGTGTTTAACCAAGCAACTGAACTAATCTTTAGTATGTAATTGAAACTGTTAGATCTCTAATCCTCTTATTTAAAGATTGTTTAAGAAGAAATGAACTTTCTTTTTGATCGTGTAAGTTATGAATACCCTACATCTAACCTATTTATGTCTGAGCTCTAGGAAATAAAAGTGATCTTATACGACAATTGTCTGAATGGACATGCACAAAGTAGAGGGATAACTATGAAAATAAAAGAGATGTTTGACAAATATTAGGTGATTTTAATATATTAATCTCACTTGGGGAAATAGTGGACCCTAGAAATAAAATGAAGATGATAAACTTCACTTTCAATTTAATGTACCTTGAGGATGTAGCATAGATGCACATTAATTGTGTGTCAGAGTTTGTATGAGTTTTATAACAAATATGTAGAAAACTACAAAAGCACTAATACTGAATAATGTCTCATCTAAAGCAAAGTCAAGTAGTAATCACATTATTTTTTCTATTGCAAAGAGAAAGCCAGTATATGAAAAGAAGAAATATGAGACTTACATTAGAACAAATTATACAATTAACATAGTTAAGTTTGAGCTAGATGTATACTTGGATGATGATGCTTTCATTGAGGATGAGAATCTAGTAGTACAATTTAATTGTTTGGAGTGATGGAAGGAAAATTGTTTAAAATATAATATTTTGTTGAGGATGACTTTCCATATTCTTTCCATTCTGATTACAATTGAAGACATATTTAGCGTCACTGGAAGAGTGATTAATCAATACTGATCGTCTTTAGGACATATACAGTGTAACATTTAATTTGTAGAAGTGATTGGTATCACAATTTTTATGTGATAAAGGGAAAAAATTAAAGTAAGCTTTGCTTTTACAAGCACTTCAAAGTTTTTTATCTTATGGGTCTATTACTTATTTTGCGTATTATGCTTTGCAATGAAGATCTCGCTGGTTTAAAGAATATGTGGACAATCATTATTTTAGTGCTACTTTTGGTTTATTTTTGGCTATTTATTTGTACACTTTTTATGTTTGTGATGTTCATTGGAATGATGTTCACTTGGTTATAAGGAATTTCATGAAAGAGATGCTCTCGTTTGTGTTATTATAGTAACTTGGTACTTCATAGCATGTGCTTTAATTAATAAAAAAGAGTACAATGCAACATGATCCTTTCCACTTGAAGCAATAAAGTCCATTCACCCTCGCATAGCACATTGTTCATTCACAAAGTCTTTAAAGGTAAGCAGTTTAAGGCACTCCTCACAATTTACTAGAACTTCTAATTTAGTTAATAACAGATTATTTGGCATGAGAAGGTGGTTCAGGTAAAACATTGAGGTTTCATTTGGGATGTCTTTCTTACTGCTTCTTAAAACAGTTTTCTTGTACAAAAATTTCAAGAAAGTTGTTAGAAAAATTAACCTTAAAATATCCAAAATTGCTTCTAGAGATTCTATTGGGATTTGAAAGAGTTAAAATTGAGTTTGAAGGCATTACCAGTAGGTATGCACCAAGCTTCCCACTAGACTATAACTCACATGAAATCACTAATTGAGGTGAAATAGTTAAATCTAAAAGATTACATCTCATGGTTGAAATTTCCCATCAAGAGCATTATGGTGTTTCTATCTTTCCATGAAGATTCCCAATTTGAAAAGCTTTGCCCTCATTTGAATAAAGCAATCATGCACCTAAAGAATGTGTGATGATAGCTTGGCCTCGACTGCTTCTAGTTTTCCATGCAATTCCTTTATAATCTTCATCAATTCAAAGGTCTTCCCAAAAACCATGCTTATTTTACCAACACTGAAGATAACATTCATCTTTCTCTTCACTTTTGCCTCATTAGTTTACATGTGCTCAATGAATCTTCAAATATTAATATTACCAATAATTTGATACTTGAAAAAAATAAAATGATCAACATAAGTAAACAAACAAAAGTGTAAAACATAAAAAGTACATATAAACACATAATAGATTTAACGTGGTTTGTCCATAGCCTACTTCCATGCCAAGGTATTCACCACACCTAGGGTTTCGTACATACATGTACTAAAATAAAACTGTCACTCCTTCAATATGTGGAGAAGTCTTTACTACAACCATCTTTTTAGGACACCTCCCCTTTGAGTAGGATAACCCCCCACATGCAATCTCATCAAGAACACTCAAAGAAAATGCAAGAGAAATAAAATAAAATTAATTTCTAACAATTGACAATGAGTTCTTAAATATATATTCAATGGAGTGAAGAAATCATGCAAATCATACATAAAACTTTGAAGAATGATACCAAGGAAAATGTGTTTCTTAATCTCTTTATATGGGTCCTAGAAGAGACTCACTTTAAAAATATTTGAAGGAGGACTTTGTAGCTAGTTTTATCAAAGAAGCTTGGGTTAGAGTGAATGAGAAAAGCCTTTTTGCATAGGAAGTTTTACTACTTCAAATTTGCTCTAAGTGATTCACAAAAACCATTAAAATTCTTACTATATTCATTTATTTGTAATTACCAATAGCTAACATTCATAAACCACTTGTGACTAGACATTAATTTGAATCAAAATTATTTGAGTTCATTGTAAAAACTTTCCTGAAATTGACATTAGGAGATATCCATAAAATTCTACGAATGCTTAAAATTTTTTGTTGAAAGCAGTAATAACTAGTT